ACACCAATGGAAATTCAGGCATACATTATAAAGAATAAAGGAACGCAAAAATAGAGAAGATAATGACTACTCAAGCACCTTGGACTTCGTTTATCTGCACTTCTACGTTCAGAAGCTCCTCTAGTACCTCTTCCGTGTTCATCTCTCGATCGCAAATTATAGACCAGGTTTTGAACAAAGGCAATCAGAACAGACACTCTAGAGTCAAAACCATGTGAGGGGGCTCAGGGGAGCGGATAATGGAAATGAAGGTCGAGACAGCAACAATCATGGACTCCCAAGACACCTGAAGATGAACCGTCGTTTACGAAAATGGAAAGGCTTTGAGTTCTGAACTGAGAAAAATTTGCATGAGTTTCCGCCGATCTCCCCGCCGGTGTTCCGCTGCCCTACCGTCGTCTCATTCGCCTCTCCTAATCGAGCGAGTAGTATTCTTGGCGCGTGCACCCCATTTCCCTCCATTTTATATTTTTGTTTTAAATAGAGCTAAATTATAAATTTTAAAAATAAAAAATAAATTAATAAAAATATCCTTACATTTTTAAACTTTAAAAAAAAAAATTTGAATAATGTCTTTAATTTATTATTTTTGTACTTTAGATTAAATTAAATATTTAATTATTTAGTAATAATATATTAATGAATAAGGATATATAAATTATTGATTTTCTATTTTTTAATTATATTATTATTATTGTTATTATTATTACAATTTTATCATAAAATTTTGAAGGGAAAATATGATAAGAGAATTTTAAGGCTTTTGAGAATAGAGAGTGATTTCACAACCGAACTCTCTATTTTATTAATTATTTAAAAAAATATATCTATCTTCGACCAATATTACATAAGTAACTAAAATTTAATGAAATTTAAATATTAAACGAAATAAAATCGGTTGGATCGTTTGAAGTGTCGGTTGTAGTGCAGAATCATATCTTTGATCGTCTCTTATTGCACGACTTCCACTATGAAAGAATTCAGGTGGTCATTCTTCTCTTACTAAGTTTCGGCCCCTCGAGATTTTTTTGTAATTTTCTTTTAAGTCTTTCATTCTTTTTGAATCGACATAAAACATAATTTGAATCTACAGCTTGTTGTATCGAATCTTGATGCAAGCTATATTCATGCATAATCCATTCCCCATGATGCTCCGGCAATTGGGCATTCTCGTACCTAAAATGTATTCAATGACTTAAATGTTCCAAGGACACAAACATAAGGCTAAGGATTCTAACAAAAATTGAAATCAAAATGACAGAACGAACCTAAAGCGTTTGCGATAGCCGATTATTGTTTTATCGGTTTTGGCAGCAAAAATTGGATCGGTTGAGTTCTCGCCACTCCATGTACCGTTGGCCAAGCCGACCTTGCGGTTGATATGCGCCGACAAACGTCCAGAGTTATTGGTGGACCTCTTGAGTTTGGTGAAGAAATAGAGATCTTCGCCGTCGGTGCCTCCAAAACGTAGCCAGATTTCCCATGGCTCCATTTCTCCATAAAGATCACAGTCCAAGACTGCACGTTTGAAATATGGTTGGTCGTGAATCTTCCATTGTAGATATTGAAGAAGTTGTTGATCAGTAGGTCTGAATCTGACTCCCACGGGCAAGAGAGGGCAATCATGAGAATCCATTAGTATTTGAGAAAGACTTTAAATGTATTTTTTGATATTCTTGAAATAGCTTTTATAGATTTTTATTTGATAGTAATAAAAATCTGATTAAAATATTTTAAAACTAAAAGATAATTGTAAAATATTAAAAAGATAATAAAAATCTGATTATTTAATTGTAATAGAAATCTAATTAAAATATTTTAAAACGTAAAAAAATAGCTGTAAAATTTCAAAAATAAATATATATTTTATGCTTATTTGTTTGTAAGAGAAATCTGATTAAAATATTTTAAAATCTAAAAAGATAATTGTAAAATATATTTTCGATAAAAAAGAATATTTTGAATTATTTGATGTAATAGAAATCTGATTAAAATATTTTAAAATGTAAAAAAAAAAAAAATAATTGTAAAATAAAAAAATAAAAAAATAATTGTAAAATATCCAAAAACAATATTTTATGGTTATTTGATTATAATAAAAATTGGATTAAAATATTTTAAAACTGACAAAAAACAAATAATTGTAAAATATTAAAAACAATATTTTGTATTATGTTTTTATTAATCGTTAAAATTAATCAACAAATTAATTCTAAAATATTGACTAAATTAATAAAAATGTCCAGTATTTTTTTAAACTTTAAAATGGTTCAATAATATTCTTAAATTAGGAAAAAAAATTCAAAAATACCTTTTTAAACTTTCAAAATGGTTATAAAAAACAATAAGTTTTAAATAAAATTGGTTAATATTTTGTCTCGATACATTCCGAGATATTTTTCCATACCTTTCATATTCAGTATGTTATTTTCAAAAATTAATTATGAAGCCTCGTTAGTAAACTACCTATTTCTAATATCAGTAAACTACCTTCATTATGTTTTTCGAGATTGGAATAATAAACTATCTACTCATGTACCCTTATCAAGTTAAAATACTAAAACTACGTGTCGCAAACCAACTTGTTACTTTGTCTTTTCAGACTATAACAATAAAACTACATGTCACTACGCCACCACTCGAGCTATAACAATAAAACTACTCGACTATGCACCACCGATAGCATACCCTCTATGACTTTTGAAATCCTCTCTGGGTGACAACTAAGGCATGTCTAACAATAGACCCTAAACCCGGCTGGTTAGTGCATGAATAGAGATTGCGCTTTATCTGTCTTTATAAGATGTCTGGTCAATCCAAGAAGGCTATGGAACTCGTGACTAGGTATTAGGATCAAAATACGTGAAACAATAACTCATAGTCTATGGATACCACAACTAACACTCTATGAAACATAGTGATAGTCCAACTCATAACTGGGCAATAACGAGCTATCCAAACCTTAAATTATGCATAATAAACATATAAACGCATACAACATACTCGTCATGCTCACTACGTGATGATACAATATACTCCTCAAATTATGAAAGCGCACCCGTTTTTTATTAAATTGCGGAACAAGGGCCAAAAAGTTTGTTTAATTACAATAGTGGCCCAGGTTGGTTTTATTCTTAAATAGGTTTAGTTCGAAGCAGAATTGGAAGGAAATTCAAGTTAGCAGCTCCTTCCAAGAATTTCAAGAAACACATTTTAATGGATTCTCATCACCGCTCTCTCTCTTGCCGGTGGGCGTGAAATTCAGGTCTACCGATCAACAACTTCTTCAATATCTGCATTGGAAGATTCATGACCTCCCGTATTTCAAAGATGTAGTCTTCGACTGCAATCTTTACGGAGGAATGGAGCCATGGAAAATCTAGCTACGTTTTGGAGTCATCGACGCGAACATCTCTATTTCTTCATCAAACTCAAGTGTCTGACCAATAACTTCGAATATATGTGGGCCCATATCAACAGCAAGATTGGCTTGGCCAACGGTACATGGAGTGGCGAGAACCTGGTCAAACCAATTTTTGCTACCAAGACCGATAAACAAATAATCGGCTATCGCAAGTGCTTCAGGTTCGTTCTATTATTTTGATTTCAATTTTCGTTAGAATCTTTAACCTTTTGTTTGTATTCTTTGAACATTTTAGGTACAAGAATGTCCAATTGTCGGAGCATCATGGCGAATGGATTATGCATGAAGATTCGATACACCAAGTTGAAGATTCGAATTACGTTTTAGGTCGACTTAGCATGAATGAAAGACTTAAAAAGAAAATTAGGAAAAAATCTTGAGCTGTAGCAACATAGCAAGAAAAGAATAACGGCGCTTGGATCGACAATTTTACAAGACACTAAGTCTGACGTGACCATCGATGAAGATATGAGTTCATAATTTTGACAATGAATGGTACTTTTGCATTTTTTTTTTTTAATATGAGATTTTTGTTTATTAGAATGCAAAACGTGACCATATTTTCCATGACTCCATTTCTCCATAAAGATCACAGTCCAAGACTGCACGTTTGAAATATGGTTGGTTGTGAATCTTCCATTGTAGATATTGAAGAAGCTGTTGATCAGTAGGTCAGAATCTGACTCCCACGGTTAAGAGAGGGCAATCATGAGAATCCATTAATATTTGAGAAAGACTCTATAAATGTATTTCTCGTGAATGTATTTCTTGATATTCTTGGAATGAGCTTTTATAGGTCTGTATGTAGATATTTGATTGTAATAAAAATCAAATCAAAATATTTTAAAATTTAAAAGATAATTATAAAATATCAAAAAGAATATTTTATGGTTATTTGACTGCCATAGAAATTTGTAAAATGTAAAAAAAAAATATATATATGTATTTTATTGTTATTTGATTGTAATTAAAATCTGATTAAATTATTTTAAAATTTAAAAGATAATTGTAAAATATTACCAAGAATATTTTATAGTTATTTGATTATAATAGAAATCTAATTAAAATATTTTAAAACGTAGAAAAAAAAATTGTATTATTAATTGTTAAAATTAATCGACAAATTAGGTTCTAAAATATAGACTAAATTAATAAAAATGTGCCGAAGTAATTATATATATTTCTAAACTTTAAAATGGTTCAATAATATCTTAATTTTTTTTTTAAAAAAAATGAAAAGTAGCATTTTAAACTTTGAAAAATGGTTATAAAAAAAATTAAGTTTTAAAAGCGCACACATATTTGTATAAATTGCGGAACGAGGCATAACAAACAGGCCAAAAAGTTTGTTTAATTATAATAATGGCCCAGGTTGGTTTTGTTCTTAAGCAGCGTTAGTTTGAAGCAAAATTGGACGAAATTCAACCAAGCACATACAAACCCTAAAGGCTCCTTCCAACCATTTCAACAAACACATTCACCAAGTCTTTATCAAATTTTAATGGATTCTCGTAATCGCTCTCTCTTGTCCGTGGGCGTGAAATTCAAGCCTACCGATCAGCAGCTTCTTCAGTATCTAAACTTCAAGATTCACGGTCTCCCATATTTCAAAGGCGCAGTCTTGGACTGTGATCTTTATGGAGAAATGGAGCCATGGGAAATCTGGCTACGGTTTGGAGGCATCAACGGTGAAGATCTCTATTTTTTCACCAAACTCAAGAGGCTAACCAATAACTCCGAACATCTGTGGGCGTATATCAATCGCAAGATTGGCTTGGCCAACGGTACATGGAGTGGCGAGAATTCGGCTAGTCCAATTTTTGCTACCAAAACCGATAAACAAATAATCGGCTATTTCAAGTGCTTCAGGTTCGTTCTATTATTTTGATTTCAATTTTCATTAGAATCTTTAATCTTTTGTTTGTGTTATTGGAACATTCAGATACGAGAATGTCCAATTGCCCGAGCACCATGGTGAATGGTTTATGCATGAGTATAGCTTGCACCAAGATTCGATACACCAAGTTGTAGACTCGGATTACGTTTTATGTCGACTTAGCAAGAATGAAAGAGTTGAAAGAAAATTACCAAAAAATCTTGAGCTGCAGCAACATAGCAAGAAAAGAATAACCGCGCCTGGATCAACCATCGGACAAGACACTATGTCTGACGTGACCATCGATCAAGATTTCAATTTATAATTTTGACCATAAATGGTGCTTCTTTTTTTTTTTTTTTTTTTTTTAATCTGAGATTTCGTTTATTAGAATCCATAACTTGAGTTCTAAGAACTTCATAGTTAGGAGTTAGCAATTTTATGTTGAGCAACGTCATGGAAATTTTCCTAAAATGCATGTGAAAATAAAAAAAAACATGCTAAAAAGACTCGTGTTAGTCTGTGAGGATAGTCTTCACTCTTAGAAACGACAAGTAATGTGATCATGTCGTAGGAGATGCAATCTCTACTCTTAGAAACGAGGAGTAAGTAATGTGACCATCTTTCACGATATGCAATCTTCACTGTTAGAAGCAAGGAGTACGTAACATGACTATGTCGCAGGTGATGCAGTGGAATCTCGAGACTATCAGGTGCCGAATTCAAATTTCGAATCATGCTTCAATTCTTGGGCATGTGGCGTTACGTGAGGATACTCTTCACTCTTAGAAGAAAGGAGTAAGTAATGTGACCATGTCGTAGGAGATGCAGTAGAATGTCGGGGCTATCAAGTGCTAAATTTAGATTTCGAATCTTGCTCCAATTCCTAGGCATGGAGCGTTACGTGAGGATAGTCTTCACTCTAAGAAGAGAGGAGTAAGTAACATGACCATGTCACAGGACATGCAGTGGAGTGTCGGGGCTATCAAGTGCCGAATTTGAATTTTGAATCCTACTCTGATTCCTGGGCATGGGGCGTTATGTGAGAATAGTCTTCACTCTTAGAAGCGAGAAGTAAGTAACACGACCATGTTGCTAATCTATGCCTTCCCCGATAATCGCACGATTTTTATTACAAATTTATCGTTGAAGCATGCTTAAAAATTGACAGGCATGATCCTTGAAAATTAAAATAAAAATTAGAAAAGAAAAAAAAAAAAGGAATTATAGTTTTCCACTTGATTTCGTTTGTATTTGTCCTCTCCATAGGGAACAAATTACAATTAATTTTAAGCGTGACACGTTTGTACTTATTAAACACAATTATTGTATATCAATAAACAAATAATTTTTATGCTAAAACAAAAAAAAATCAATAAATAAATAATAGATAAAGAATGCTCGGTTCCCCTCTCCAACAGACGTATCTATTTCCTTTCAAGGCTCAACGTCCTCGTTGAAACTAGTTTCTCTCTCTAATCGATGTGGGATCTCACAATCCACCTCCTTTCGGGACCCAACGTCCTCGTTGGCACTAGTTCCTCTCTCTAATCAATGTGAGATCTCACAATCCCACCCCCTTCAGGACCCAGCATCCTTGCTGGCAAACCGCCCGATATCCACCCCCTTTGGGACACATCGTCCTCACTAGCACACCGTTAGCAGTTGTCCTCTTTAGACTTTCCCTTTTGGGCTTCCCCTTAAGGTTTTTAAAGCGTCTGTTAGGGAGAGGTTTTCATACCCTTGTAAAGAATGCTTTGTTCCCCTCTACAAAAGACGGGATCTCACAATCCACCTCCTTTCAGAGCTCAGTGTCCTCGCTGATACTAGTTCATCTCTCCAATCGATGTGAGATCTCACAATCTCACTCCCTTCGAGACCCAACATCCTCTCTGGCAAATCGCCCGGTGTCCACCCCTTTGGGACACAGCATTCTCACTAGCACACCACTAGTATATATTGTCCTCTTTAGACTTTCCCTGTTGAGCTTCCACCTTAATGTTTTTAAAACGCCTCTACTAGAGAGATTTTCACATTCTTATAAATAATATTTCGTTACTCACCCCAACGAATGTGGGATCTCACAATTCACCCTCTTCGGAGCCAACGTCCTCACTGACACTCATTCCACTTTCAATCGATGTGGGATCCCACATTGGTTCTTGTAAGGAACCGAACAATAAAATGGAGGGTCACCCCGTAGGATGACCTGGTTCACCACTTTAGGTCACTATGATGGTTAATTACTCGAGCACACAATGTGTAATTACCATAAAATTATTTTTTACCATAGCAAATATATCATTCATAAAGGAATTGAATAGAAAATAAATAAATAAATTGTTGATTAACGTAGATATATTTAAGTTCTTGCTTAGAGTAAATTAAGGAATAATTAAAAACTTAAAAAGCTGATTAACAGTCCGTAATCGGTTGTTATGGTCCAATTAGCCATAAATTCTAGATTCCTCTATAAATACAAGCAAACTAATTGCCATTGCTCCACAAACTCTCAAATCCGAGTTCATCTTGCGTTCTTCATTCAATTTCTCTCTCTCTCGCGCGCGCGCGCACTAATCCACGAGCACGATCAAGTCCTAACCGCCTCTGTGCGGACTTGAAGTTGAATGATCAATTAAAGATTCAAAACTCCTCTGATATATATTTCAAATCTTCAATCGCTTTTGATGAAGAGAGACGGAGATGAAGCGCCGATTTCGGCTTCGCAGATCGATCGGAAACCAGAGCAGACTACATCTGCGGCGGAGCTTGGCGAGAAGGAATTTCAACCTAATTCGACCAGCGCTGGCTCTCCGCTTCACTGCGACGGCACCAAGGAGGAGCTCCGCCGTGCAGAAACTGAACCACCGATAGTCGGCGATTCCAGCCACCAGGTAAACAAACGCTACTGAGAATCGTAACTGAGAAGTGAAAAGAAAGAGGAAAATCTGATTTATTGGTTCTGCTGATGCGATTAATCTTTCTTCGAGTGTGCTGTGTGCTTGTTTGTTGATTATGATATGCATTAGGAACCATGACTCACCATGGTAGGTTACAATGGTATGATATTGTCCACTTTGAGCATAAGTCTCATGGTGCCTATGATCATCCAACACCTCCCCTCAAACAAATGGTGCCTCATATCAATGGAGTCAGTATTCATCAGTTATAAACCCATGATCATTCCCTAAATTAGATCATCCAACGCCTCCCCTCAAACAACTAACTAAGAGAGGCAATAAACCAACTTACTCAACACCTCCCCTTAATCGAGGCTCGACTCCTTTTCTTTTGGATCTTTTGGAGTCCTTTGTTCGATATTTGAGGATTTACCAATCTATTGGCACGACTAAGTCTGATATCATGTTAGGAACCACGACTCTCCACAATAGTATAATATTGTCCACGGCTTTGCTTTGGGCTTTCCCAAAAGACCTCATACCAATGGAGTTAGTATTCCTCACTTATAAATCCATGATCATTCCCTAAATTAACCGATGTGGGACTTTCATCATCCAACAAGATGAACACGACTCTCTCCACAATGATGATGTTGTCCACTTTGAACATAATATCTAGTGGCTTTGCTTTGAACTTCCCAAAACCCCTCGTAACAATGGAGATAGTATTCGTCCCTTAAACTCATTCTCTAAATTAGATGTGAATTTTATCATCCTTTCATTTAAAATTAACTATAAGAATTTTTTTGAATTTTTTTTTAAGTTTAAAATTATTATTATTTTTTTTTTTTTAACATTTTGAAATGTTTTTTTTTTTTTTTTTTAAATGAAGTACATTTTATTTTTATTAATTTAACCTAAATTTTATTTTATACAATCTATACGGTGAGGATTCTAACCTTTATGACTTGAGCAATTATTTGATGAGACAAACCAGTAAAAAGGTAAAATGTAATTAAGAAAAATTAAAGTAATTTTACAACCCGATTAGATTGTCATGTTGCCATTTTTTTTTAAATATTAGTTAGTATGGTGCATAAATGTCAAATATTAAATATTTAGAAGTCATAGTTTATCCTTAACATTGGTTGTAAATTTTAAATATTATTTTTTTAAAAAAGGTACGATTGGGTTTGATTGTAACCAAAATTTCAATTTGGTAGGGTTGACTTGAAAGAAAAATGTCAAACTGCAAACTGAATCAAATTTTCCTTTTTTAAAAAATTCAACCCAATCTAAATCACAAAATTAAAAATTTAAAGGGAGAATTTAAGTACCACAATAAAATAAAAAATTTGAATAAGACTTGAATCTAATTTTTTTTATTTAATTTAGATCCAAAAGCGAAATATATTAAATTTAGCATATTAAACTTATATCTTCGCTTTTTAAGTAATTTATGAATAATATTTTCTTATATGGACTAAATTTTTTTGTTAAATAACCATCATGAAGTTGAAGGTTAAAATCTTTTTCGGGAATATATATATATATATATATATATAGATATATATATAAAAAGACGTTTATTTAATTAAATCCAACAATTAAAAGGTAGGCGTGGTGGAATCATAAAGCGGAGACAAAGAAAGTAGTAAAGCTTAAAAAGTACTTTCGTGGTGAAAAGTTCTGATTCGAGCATACATTCTTTTTGAAAATTCTAATTAATATATTTTAAAAAAATTAATGATTAAATATAAATATGTAATCATAACTTAACTAGTTCCAAGATTCGAAGTTCTTACTATTTTAAAAATAAATATAAACGTTTTGAGGCAAATTTAAAATAACCTTAGAGCTTAAAAAAAGTCGGTATAATTTCTATAAATTATTTTTAAAAAATTAAACATTTCTTAAATCTTTAATTATTTTTTAAAAAAATGAGAAATTTCTTTGTTTATTTTATTTTGCGTCTTCAAACTTTAAAAAAAAAAATATTTATTTTAGTCCTTAAATGGTTTTAATTATTATATTTATTTTAATTTGAAAAAATTAATAAAGTAGTTTTGAGTAGATATAAATATTAGATAAAATATATTTAAGAATAAAGGTTAAGATTTGGGCGAATATTAGAATGTTAGTAATTAGAGGGGCCCAATCACAATTTTGTATTACTTTCGTTATAGACAAGCTTACGTGGACAGTGGGGCCCACAAATTAGGTCAAAACAAGGATACGAGATTCATTGACGTGGCACGCTAAGATTCAAAAGGGGAACACCTTGCGATATGCAAATATTCGTCATTTCCTAAATGCCACGTACGATTTTTGACCTTTTTTAATTAAAATAAAAAATAAAAAAATAAATTTTATTTTTTAGGAAAAAAAAAAACTATATATATTAAATTGTAGAATTTCGGAAATTTTATTTTATTTTATTTTCTTTTGTTGTTCT